CCAGTCAGTGGCCTCCCTTTTTACCCTGTTGGAGAAGTTCTTGGATGTGAAAACTGACCTGTTAATCAGATCATTGGTGCTTCAAATCCACCAGCTGCTCCACAGGACAAAGATAAGGCAGTGTGATTCTACAAAGATTTACAGCCTACTCTGTTCTCTGTCCTACAGGGTTGAGTTTAGAATTGAATCTCAGCAGAAAAAGATACACAATTATCAGTTGTTATAACCTTTTTGGAGCTGACACAGTGGCACAGTGCATTAAATGCTAGGTTGCCAACCCAAAGGTTGATAGTTCAAATGCACCAGCTTGCTGTAAGGGAGAAAGATGAAGCTGTATCCTCCCTCAAAGATTTATAGCCTCCAAAATCTGATGGAGGTTTGCATGAGTCAGAACAGACTTGGTAACACTGGGTTTTTGTTTATGCAACCTCCATAAATAAAACCAGCAATGTCAATAAATACATTAGCATCTACAGATGCTTGTATTAGAGCCCAAATCTTCCAATCCTATAATTTCACTTAACACATAAACTGCTAATTTCGATCTAAAAAGAAATTATTCATAAGTATAGTAGCTATTTAAGATGTAAGGAAAGAGAGAAGTGCAGTAATGAATGAATGGAAATTCAAAATCCCTGTAAATTATCATTAAAATTATTTTAAAAAAATATTAAAATAAAATTTTAAAAAAAAGATGTAGGTAAAAATTGGCATTCAGCCAAGTCTGTATATAGCCTTCCACCCAAGTTACAATAAAAAGTTAAAAGAGAATGTTAAAACCTTGTGAAAAATGCAGTTAATGTCACCGAATGATGTATTTTGGGAACGGACAAACAGGAACTTAATTTGCTGTATTCAGTGAATACTGACTAAAATTATTCTAAAAAGATACAAACATACAAGCCTCCACAAACCCAATCTACATGAACAGAGCTCTGGTGACACAATCCGTGGGCAGGTGTGTTGCTAACAGAAAGGCAGCACCTCTCTGATGGTTTTAACCAATCATCTGGCCCTAGGAAGAAAGATGGGCACTGTCCCCTCCTGCACTCTACAGCCTCTCAAACCTGCTTGGAGGGCCAGCTATGAGTCGGTTCAACTGCACAACGAGTGAGTGAGTGAGTGACAGATGAGGATGAGTAAATTAAAAACTGAAATTAAATTTTTAGGGAGCTCTGGTGGCCTAGTGGCAAGAAGTTGCACTGCAATCCCAGAGGTACACAGTTCAAATCCACCAGATGCTCTGTTGGAGGAGGGACAATCTCCTCCTGTACCAGTCAGATCCAATTTGACGGTACACACATAACAAATAATAAAATTTAAAAAAGAAAATAAAAATTTAATTTAAATTTTTAATGACAAAATTACAGGAACTTTCTTTCAAGCATAAGTCAACTGAAGAAAGCTTTGATAATACCCAGATTTAGCTACATTCAGTCAGTTCAACATCCAGGAGCCACTAGGCCTAATTCTTAAATCTGTTAAAATTATATAATAATTCAATAATTAACACTGCATTAGAAAGGAGGAGGAGAAGAACTGACCAAAACGAACATATGATTATGCATTCTATGTATGAGAAGAATCTGAATAAAGAGTGCTCTGTGGGGTGCTGTGAGGAAGGGGGGTGAGAAGGTGGGGAGAAAATGTGTAGCAATGAATAAATAAAAGGAAAAAAATTATTCTGACTTGCGGTAAGTGTGAATTAGTATCTTTACTCTTATTAATTAAGATGTAATTTTTCACTACTAAAGACATTCTACTTTTGGAATACTATAGTAACACCAAGAAGATGCAAGGTGTATCAGATAGGGATTCGAATCTATACTTTGGACTGGGTGTATCGTCTGGACTGGGTTCTTTCTCTTTGCATTTCATCACTTCCAAAATGAAGCTAATACATCCCCACCGTAGAGATGTGCTGTAAAGATGACAAACTCCTTACCGATGGTAGGCTTCCCGTCGATACTTTTTCAGGGCATGTTTATCCATGTTAGCAGGCACATCTGCTGCATTCTGTAACCGATCACTCCAGGAGGTTGTCATTTTATTCTAAATGTACGCTGAAATCTAGAAAAGAAAAGCAGCCGTTTAGATAACTTAGCACAGGCATCTGTCTACCAAGACTTAAGGAGTTGCACAGCCAACCAAAGCAGTTTAAATCCACCAGGTGCTCTGCAGGAGAAAGATGGGCAGTCATTGCCCATGAGATTTAGAGCTTCTCAAAACTCAATGGATGGTCAGCTATGTGTCGGTTCTGCCTTAACAGTACTGGTCTGAGTTTGATACTAGTGTTTTGTGTTTTTTTTTATAAAAAAAAACAAAGAAGTGGGAGCAAAGGGGTGAGGATGTACGGGGGTGGGAGGTTGTTAATCACAGGGTTGCACAAACTGACAGGTGGAGGAAAGGATGAGTAAGACTTTGTAAGTAAACCAGTAGAAAAATAAAAGTTCTATTTTAAATAAAAAATACTAGAATGAGACATTTGCAAACTTCCTGACATAAACATCTAATAAAAGATGATGAATATAATATTGAAAATAAATACATTTCTAAACCATATAATTTCATAAATTTAGAAAAACCATTTAATATAGTAATTTCTACCCAGAAAGATCATACAGATCACTTCCAAATAATTAAACTTGACTATCAATCACTCCACCACTTGCCTGTCAGTTGTGGCACTGCGGTGGCTCTTCCTGTGACACTGGAAGCTATGCTATCGGTGTATCAGATACAAGCAGGATCACCTAAGGCGGGCCAGTTTCAGCACAGCTTTCAACCTCAGACAGACTAGATAGGAAGCAGGACTGACCACGACTTCTAAAGTTAAGAAGCCCTTGAAAGCTCTATGTGTAGGAGCAGATCATGTCCAATATAGTGCCTGAAGATGAGCCCTCAGGTTGGAAGGCACTCAAAATACTAGGGAAGAGCTGCTTCTTCTAAGCTGTTGCTGTTGTTGCTGTGTACCATCAAGTCAGAATCAACTCACAGCCAACCCTCCAGCAGGTCTGCAGAGGCAGTGAACAGCATGGGAGTAGCCTGCCCATCTTTCCCTTGTGTAGAAGTTGCTGGATTCAAATCACATGCCTTTGGGCTGGCAGCACAACTCATTACCACTAAGCTACCAGAGCTCCCTCCTCAAAGTAGAATCTAACTTAATGATGGAGCAAATTTTTCACCCACTGAAAGACTTTTGTTTATGTGACACAACTCAATATAAGGCTACCAAAAAAACATTAACAATTGAAACTTGGGATGAACAAAATATGAATTTAAGAAAATTGGAAGTTGTCAAAAATGCAATGGAAATGGATAAAGAACTGTATATCCTAGGCATCAATGAGCTGAAACGGACTGTTGCTGGTATGTGCCACTGAGTCAGCACCAACTCATAGGTGGCCCTCCAGTGGGTTTTCAGAGGCTGAAAAATCACACAGAAGTCAGTACCCATCTTTTCCCCATGGAGTGGCTAGTGGATTTAAGCTGTGTGCCTTTGGGGCCACCAGAGCTCCACAATGGTCATTCTGAATCCAACAATCATATTATCTACCTCGTCAGCAATGACAAAGAACAATGGTGTTGCATTCATATTCATAATTAACACTGCAAGATCTGTCCTGTGTACAATGCTGTCAATGATGGGATGATTCAGAACTTATACACCAGCTACTAAAGCCAAAGATGAAGAAATTGATGATTTTTACCAATTTATGTAATCTGAAATTGATCAAATATGCAATCAAGAGGCATTTATAGAAACTGATAATGAGAATGCAAAAGTTGAAAACAAAAGAGAAGGACTAGTAGACAGAAAATACGGCCTTAACAACAGTCCAGAATAAGAGGACTAGGAGAGAGGGAAGAGGGAAGGGGAAGGTAGTAATTCAACAATGAATGAATAATAAAAAAAAATAAAAAAAGAAGAAGAAAGTGAACTGGGGGTGGGAGAGAGAAAGGAGGGGGAATTGTGCAATAGTGAATAAATGAAAAATTCAACTTGCATTAAAATCACAATTAAAATAAAAAATTGTATTAAGAAAATATGGCCTTCCTAGTAGAAATTAAGCCACAGAAGACAGGGCAAAATTGTATATAACCAATGACTTTTTAATGGCAAATGTCTTTAAAAAAGAAATTTTTAAATATCTTTGTCAACTATACATATGGACCTCACCTGATGGGCTATATAGGAATCAAACTGGCTAAATCTGTGGATAGATATGGCAGAAGGGGTCAATATCATTAGTCTGAAGGTGGCCAGGGGCCAAGTGTGAAGCACAAAATCAATTGCTCATATGTAAGTTAAAAATTGAAGCTGAAGAAAATTAACACAAGTCCATGAGAGCCAAACTTGCAGTATATCCCACTTGAACTTAGAAATCATCTCTAGATTGGAAGCACTGAACATGAACGACTAAAGACTAGAAAAATTGTAGATGGCATCAAAGACATCATACATTAAGAAAGCAAAAGGTCACTGAAGAAGACAGGAAGTAAAGAAAAAAACCAAAACAGATGTCAGAAGAGACTTGACATTTGCTCTTGAACATAAACACTGCAGAGAGCTGAACAGAAGATATCAAAGGCAACACAAGAAGTCAAACTAGTATGATGAAATGTACAAGGACATGGACTTAGATAATCAAAAGGGAAGACACTTGGCATTTCTCAAGCTGAAAGAACAGAAAAAAAATTAAGCCTCAAGTTGCAACACTTAAGTATTCATGGCTGGAAAAGAAGAGGTGATCAAGAAAGAAGGAAGATTCTCCATGGGATCACTGCAACGGCGGCCTGCTGCACAGCACAGCAGAATATCAGGCTGGCACTGTGACAGGAAGCCCACTTTCTGTTGTACACAGTGTCACGTGAAATGGAAGCTGACTCAACAGCACCCACCACTGACAATCCCTCTAAGAACTTTAACTCGAGGTTCTAGAAAAGAGACTGAGACCACATAGTTTGTAAACTACTTCCTTTTAACTAATGCATGCTTTCATGTGTTCTTAAGTAAGCAAATATTTAATGAAGTCTATCACTCAGAGGCCCAATACAATTGTGTCTGATTTCTAATTATTTCATGTTTTTTCCACAGCCATATGATAAATTCTTTTTTTTTTCCCACTCATATTGAACATTAGAGACTGAAGACAAAATAAAATTTAAAAATTCATCTCATTAGGATAAAACATCTAAAACTAGGTTGTTGTTGCTGTTTTAAGTGTCACTGAGTCGCAGACAACTCATAGCGACCCTATGAACAAAAGACCTGAACACTTGTATAACTTTCATCGTTTCTCCATGTTCATAGAGTTTCCAGAGGCAAGCCATTTCGGAAGTGGATGCCACTCCTAAGCTTGTACCACCAAACACTGTCCACCATGAGTAGCCATTATTGCATTTGACACATCAGTGTCACAGTTTAGCATCACAGCAACCACAAGTTACCTCTGTACAGCACATGGACAGACCTGTGCTATGCCACTTAGAAGAATGTTTGACCACAAACAATTAAAACCAGGCCTGAGGGCCGCAAGCAGTGAAATATCTTTGGCATTATTTGTATTTTTTAAGTTCTCATCCATAAATAGATTTAAACAAGTATGAAAAATTATTTTTTAGTGTTGGTAAGTTTATTAACACTTTCAGTGGTTATAAGGCTTAAGAAATCCAAGCCAGATGGCCACCCTCAGATCTCACCATCCCTACCTTTTTGCCCCTATTCTTTCCTAAACTTCTCAATAAAATAGTCTGATGTAAAGAAAACTAGGTTATTAAAATCTCATTAAAATAACAGTTCTCATAAAAAAAAGTCTGCAACCTCACATTTCCAATTTTGAAATAAATCATCCTTGCATTATTTTTGAACTATACAGATTTCCAAACACTGTTTATAGGTCAAATATTAGCAACTATAGAAATATATTCCAGGTTAAAACTTACTTACTTATATAATAAACTTGATAGAATTTACCTGGTAGCATTTTTTTAAATTAAATTTTATTAATTTTAATGAACATTTACAGAGATTTTGGGTTTCCATTCATTCATTGTTGTACTATTTTCTCTACCCTCCCCCCAGTTCATTCCTCTTCCCCCCCTTGAAAGTCTGTTTTGTTTTGTTTTTTTTTAAATTTGTTGGATTTAGAAAGTCTGTTTTAATTGTGCCATTGCCACAGTGCTTGTCAAAGTCAGTTCTGATTAATCTCCTTTGTCAGTGTGTCCTTTGCCATTTCCTATCACTCCTCCCTGAGAGAGACTTCATCCTACCTGGTAGCATTTTATGAGCTAAAACTGGGTACTATAGGTATTTTTCTATTTTGAAAGAATTACAATGGAACAAAAAATATTTCTCTTCTATAACTCATACTGTATTCTATATACATTTACGTAAGAATGAGCTATGAAACTAGTATACCGTCATGAAAAGAAATGAAAACAGTAATTCCAGTAAAGATTTTAATTAGGGGAGCTCTGGTGGCCTAGTGGCAAGAAGCTGCACTGCAACTCCAGAAGTGCACAGTTTGCTGGAGAAAAAGGGGCAATCTCCTCCTGTACCAGTCAGATCTGATTTGATGGTACACACACAAATAAATTTTTTTTAAAAAATATTTTAATTAGGATTCTATGGCAATTATAGCCATACTGTAAAATACAGGAACTAAAATTTCTTGCTCAGGACTTAGGTACAGCGACCACAGAGTGCTCAACACTACTAAGGATGGTTTTAAGATACACTGCAACAGAATCTTCATAAATTGTCATCTTCAAAAAAAAAGCAAACAAAATTATCCACACAGTATTATCATTTCTGGAATTCATACAGCTCAGGTATTATGGCTTCAAAACAGAAAATAGCATATAAGACAGGTTAACAGCTATAAAAAAATATCTTCTTAAAAAAAAAAAGAGTCAAGCACATTCTAATTTTTTTTTAAATAATTTTGCCTTGGGTTTCCCGGGACCCCAAGACTGCACAGACCGAGTTAGCAAAGTGTCCTGTGTTAGGTCAGGACTCAGGACCGAGGGACACAGGAGGGATGGAGAGGAGCCGCGGGCAGCCCACAAGTGGAGTTTTGTATAAAGAAGACAATTATGTCATCATGACAACTACACATAAAGAAAAATATAAATGCATACTTCCTCTTGTGACAGGTGGAGATGAGGAAGAAGAAAAGGATTATAAAGGCCCTAACCCAAGAGAGCTGTTGGAACCGCTATTTAAACAAAGCAGTTGTTCCTACAGAATTGAATCATATTGGACTTATGAAGTATGTCATGGAAAGCACATTAGACAGTACCATGAAGAGAAGAAAACTGGTCAGAAAGTAAATATTCACGAGTACTACCTTGGAAATATGTTGGCTAAGAACCTTCTTTCTGAAAAAGAACACGAAACAGAAGAAAAATCAAGAGAGATTCCTACTAAAAATATCGAAGGTCAGATGACCCCGTATTATCCTGTGGGCATGGGAAACGGTACACCTTGTGGTCTGAAGCAGAACCGGCACAGAACAAGCACTGTGATGTATATATGTCACCCTGAATCCAAGCATGAAATCCTTTCAGTCGCTGAAGTTACAACCTGTGAATATGAAGTTGTCATTCTGACACCACTTCTGTGCAGCCATCCTAAATATAGGTTCAGAGCATCTTCTGTGAGTGACATATTTTGCCAATCAATGCCAGGCTCGCCGTTTAAGCCCCTCACCTTGAGGCAGTTGGAACAGCAGGAAGAAGTACTAAGGGTGCCTTTTCGAAGACATAAGGAGGAAGAGTTACAATCAACCAAAGAAGAGAGATTTCCAGCAATCCACAAACCCTTTGCAATTGGCTCTCAGCCGATACTAACTGTTGGAACAACCCACATATCCAAATTGACAGATGACCAGCTGATAAAAAAAGAGTTCCTCAGCGGTACTTACTGCTTTCATGGGGGTGTTGGATGGTGGAAATCTGAATTCTGCTATGGCAAACATGTACATCAGTATCATGAGGACAAAGACAGTGGGAAGACGTCTGTGGTCGTGGGGACTTGGAACCAAGAGGAGCATACTAAATGGGCCACGAAGAACACAGCGAGAGCCTATCACCTTCAGGATGACGGCACCCAGACAGTCAGGATGGTGTCACATTTTTATGGTAATGGAGATATTTGTGCTATAACTGACAAACCAAGACAGGTAACTGTAAAATTAAAGTGGAAAGAATCAGATTCTCCTCATGCTGTTACTGTATATATGTTAGAATCTCACTCCTGCCAGTATACCCTTGGGGTTGAATCTCCAGTAATCTGCAAAATCTTAGATACAGCAGATGAAAATGGACTTCTTTCTCTTCCCAACTAAAGGGTAATAAAGTCGGGGGAAAAGGTAAAAAAAAAATTGCCTCCTAGCCTTTTTTTTTTTTTAATTTAACAAAGAGCCACAGTTACTCCTGCACCAGTGAGTTTTATTGACAATGGGACAGTCAGCATTTAAATCCCTCCTTAGTGCCATGTTACCCCATTCACAATACAAACCAAGCACAAGGCCTGGGTTGAGGTGTATATGGGGTCTTTCACTCTGCCTCCTCTTTATATACAGTCAGTGCAAGAACACAGCCCGTGGTAAGCTTAAGGAGGCCTAGGCTTTATTTTTTAAATTTAAGACTATTTTGGTGTTGTGCTGTGTGAAGAAGATAGCCAGATTTGCTTTTTGGTTTTTTTAATTAATTTAGTTTGTTTATTTTTCATTTCAATGAACATCTACAGAGATTTTGGAATTCCATTCATTCATTGTTTCACCCTTCTCCCCGCACAAACCCCCCCCCCTTTGCTCCTCTCCTTGAAAAGCAAAAGAAAAACTCCCTCATTGGTACACAATCCCCCCGCACCTCCCCAAACCCCACCCCCTACCCCCAAATATAATCCACTCTGCAACCCTCATTGCCTACAGCCAGATTTGTAAACCCGGGAGTGAGATCCGGCCTGTCCGAGGTCACTGTTTTGCGGAGGCCCTCGGGGTGAAGCCACCATCACTATGTCTGACCACCAGGAGGCAAAACCTTCAACTGAGGACTTGGAGGACAAGAAGGGAGGAGAATACATCAAACTCAAAGTCATTGGACAGGAGAGCAGTGAGATTCACTTCAAGGTGAAAGAGATAGCACAGCTCAAGAAACTCAAAGAATCATACTGTCAGAGACAGGGGGTTCCAAAGAATTCACTCAGGTTTCTCTTTGAAGGTCAGAGAACTGCTGATAATCACACTCCCAAAGAACTGGGAATGGAGACAGAAGATGTGACTGAAGTTTATCAGGAACAAACAATTCAACAATTTAGATAATCTCTTAATTTTTTCTTTTCCCTTATCCTTTTTTATTTTTAAAAATAGTTCTTTTGTAATGTTGTGTTCAAAACAATTGAAAACTGCCACCTATCTTCAAAACACCTGGTATTTTGAATTCTGGTGTTCATTAATCATTACTATTTAACTGTGCTGATTTTTGGTGAGCAAACCTCAGCCCCCTGGATAGTGCCCTCTTTTCTTAAAAATTCCTTGTGTGCACTGAGAGGCCAGGCTTGGGGGGTAAATAAGATCAATCAACGATGCAAGTGTTCATAATGACTTTCCATTTGGCCCTGAAGTTCTAATACATGACTGCCTCACTCATAGACTGACTTTCAGTGGGAGAGGGAAGTTTTTCAGAGAACTCAACTGTGGAAAAATTTACCTTTTCTTAACTTGAAGCTACTTATGTGAGGGTCTGGACCAAAAGAAGAAGAATATCAGGTTGGAGTGATGATGACATAATGGTAAGAGTTATGACTAACTCCAGAGATGGCTTCCCTGAAGAGACATTAAAATTCTTGTCAGAAGATCCCAGAAAAATTCTAAATTCCATTGACAGTTAATTACCCACGTAGAAGTGTATGCATCAGAACACTGATCTCTTTTGATTTTATTTGTACTTTTTTGCCTGGGATATGGATTTTATATGGACATTGTCTGTACCAGCTTCATTAAAATAAACAAAATGTTTATAAAAACCATTAAAAAAATTAAGACTATTTTAATTATGTTTCTCTTACTACCATAAAAAAAAAGAAAAATTAAGGAAGGTTAGCAATACTTTCTAATTTTAACTTTTAATTACTCAAAAATTTTATTAAAAACTACTTAAAAGTCAGGCACATCAACTTCTGCTTTGCACTTAAGATGTAATTTTAAGGACTGATTAAGCCACCTGGCTTAGATAACTAAAAACCAAATAAAATATATGAAATAATGGTTTCCAAGCCATTGGA